CATGACTTGGAGCAGTCACACCTCTGAGGACTCTCTTCTGGTCATGTGACAGCGCTGTGGGCCTGAGCAGCCAATCGCTAAGCACCAGTACTGTCAAATGGGTGTGAGTCACATGCTCCTTCCATACCCAGAGGTACCAGGCACCTCCCTTCGCTGGAAGCCACCAGCCAGTAAAAAACAATCCATCCCTCACCTGGACCTTTCAGGCTCCATTGGAGGTTCCTGGGCCTGCAGTGATGCCACAGAGGTAAGCCGTATGGTGGCACTGCTATTAAAGTGACCATGTGACATTGCTCTGGCAAGTACAAAGCACAGGTTGACATTGGGTACTCAATCTTAGTATAAGTGAAGGGAGTTCTGAAAACACAAATGACGGGACCTGGACCTGCCATATTGGATTGGTTACAATGGGGAAACGCAGACAGTTCCTATTTCACATCCATAGCTGAGGCCAATAAGTGACAGTCGGGGGCTTTGTGCTAAAATGCCATATGGGCAGACCTGACCTATTCTGTGACATTTCCCGGATCCTGTTCACATTCAGACCCGTTTATAAAACACGGCACCCAACAAGCGGTACACTTTGTTACTCCCGCAACTTTATTGTATCTCTGAAAGTACATTTTGTGAACAGAGTGGGAGAGACTGATGCGGAAGAGCTGATAAGGGCTCACGCAGGGTTATTCCAGGTAACGTCTGCGTTCATAGAGACGTTCCTGCTTAAAGGAAACCTGTACTGAGAGTCTATGGAGGATGGCAATGATGAGAATTAGACATGTGCACTGGCAAAAAATGTGTTTAGTTTCGTTTCGGATTTTGTGTTATTTCGTTTTAAGGGATTCGGGTGTGAAAGTCAATTCGGATTCGGAATTCGGATTCGGACGAAGTTCGTTAGCGGTAGTTCGTTCGAACGCTCATTTCGTTTTCATTTCCTATTCGTTCGTTGCAGCAAAGTGACATTTGCTGCAACTAACGAATGAACGAAACGAATAAGAAACTAAAACGAAAGGAACGGTCGAACGAACTACCGCTAATGAATTTCGGAAATGGAAATTCGGATTCGTTTACATTCGTTAAATCTGTAATACATCCGAATGTCCGAATTTCCGAACATTCGTCCGAATTTCGTTTCGGAACACGAATCGCACATGTCTAATGAGAATGCTTCAGTGCAGTCAGTATGGAGTCCGGGAACTGGGACTTCACTTTGACTTTCTAACCTGTTCCAGGTCAGGGACTGCAGCTTTCATTAAAATAATGGCCAGTGATCCTTCCCATTGGGGGGTGACAACACCCTGTCCTTGTCTCCTGATTGCTGGGAGTGTTATCCCCTCCAGGGTCTGAATTCAAAAGTGCGTTGAAAAGACGCGTCACACATCAACATGTCTGTCAATGCACATTGAAGCATGACAATGCACCAGCCCAATGCTACAAAAAACGCATCTCTACACACACATAGGTCTACATGGATCCTTCAAAAAGCAGCTGCTGGGACCTGTAGTTCTGTGTTGGCTGTGTGATGCTATGTGGACACCGGGACTTGTAATTCCATATGGGCTGCATGTTGCTATCTGGACACTGGGACTGCAGAGACTTGTAGTTCTGTATGGGCTGCATGTTGCTATCTGGACACTGGACCTCTAGGTCTGTATTAGCTGTGCACTGCTATCTGGACACTGGGGCTGCTGAGACTTGTAGTTCTGCATTAGCTGTGTGCTCCTATCAGGACACTGGAACTACTGGGAATTGTAGTTCTGTATTGGCTGCATGCTGCTATTTGAACACAGGGACTGCTGGGCTTTGTAGTTATAGGCTGTGTTCTGCTACCTGGACACTGGGCTTGCTGGGACTTGTAGTTATGTATTGGCTGTTATCAGGACACTGGAACTGCTGGGACTTGTGGTTCCATATTGGCCGTGGGCTTCTATGTGGACGCTGGGACTGCTGGGATTTCTATATCAGCTGGGTGCTGTTTTCTGGGCACTGGAATTGCTGGGACTTGTGGTGCTACCCTGACCCAAGTGTAATCGTTGCTGGAGTTGGAGTCCCCCAGATTCCTATTTTGTGACTCCCTTCGTTACATGTGTCCCTCCATTCTGGTCCCCTCTTTCTTATTGGGGGAGCCCCCAATAAATGCCCCGCACGCCGGGTCCTTTGTGCTCAGCCTGCGTGTGCTCAGCCTCCGTGTGCTCAGCCTCCGTGTGCTCAGCCTCCGGGTGCTCAGCCTCCGCGTGCTCAGCCTCCTGTGTGCTCAGCCTTCAGGTGCTCAGCCTCTGTGTGCTCAGCCTCTGTGTGCTCAGCCTCCGTGTGCTCAGCCTCCTGTGTGCTCAGCCTTCAGGTGCTCAGCCTCTGTGTGCTCAGCCTCCTGTGTGCTCAGCCTCCTGTGTGCTCAGCCTCCTATGTGCTCAGCCTCCGTGTGCTCAGTCTCAGTGTGCTCAGCCTCCGGGTGCTCAGTCTCAGTGTGCTCAGCCTCCTCTGTGCTCTCTCTCTGCTGGTTCATCACAGTTACTAATAACTAAAAATGAATGGCCAGTTAAAGATACAAAGTAACAAAAAGTTTCTCTTACCGTAGGTTGGTGGTCATAGTGTAGTGACGGGGAGAGCCGGGTTATATCCAGACACGGGACACGATGAGTGGAGTTGTACTTTGTACGTTCTCCAGCTGTCGGCTGCTGTGTGATGAGGACTGTCCCAGCCGAGTATATATACACTATACCCCTCCCGCCCCGCTACCCCGGGGTGTGACCCAATAACACGAGGGAACCTCCTGCACAGTCTGTGAATAATCATCTCCGTGTGTGAATGTACACTTCTCCATATTTAGCTGTCCGTCAACCCGGGTGACCTCATCGGGTGAAGTGTGTGGATTGCAGTGCGGTTATTGTTATTATTTCCCTTCCTGGACTATAATAGAGCAGTGTGCGCCGGGCGGAAAAAAACGCTCAGCAAAGTGCGAAGAGGATTATGAATGGAGCTTGTCTTAAAGTGCGACTCCACCTTTGTGACTGACTATTTACTGTAAAAAGCAAAGAAGGGCAAGCCTTTAACCACTTGAGTCCCAGGGCCTTCCTCTCCCTTAATACCCTTGGGGTGCAAGGTGATAGATATATACATATATATCCATACACATACATACACGCACACATATCATGGGGAGTCTACATCTGCTTAATGGAGACCTGACCCAGAACCCCCATGCAGCTGTGCAGCAATGGACTCTGATTCTTTGAACTAGTGATGCACCGACACCAATATCAGTATCAGTGCACATACTACGAGTACTCGTGCAAATGCTCCGATACCCAAAACCAGTACTGGCACTTTAATTTATGCAACTTAAGTGACTGTCTTAGGTGCCTCTGTTTACAGCGATTGCGCCGGCCCACACATCTCCCCCTTCTGAGACCATCAGCTATAGAGGACTACAAATCCCAGCAATACATTATACAGCAATGCAGAATACTAGCAGCTATAGAGGACTGCAAATCCCAGCAATACATTATACAGCAATGCAGAATAATACCATTATTCTGCATCACTGTATAATGGATTGCTGAGATTTGTAGTCCTCTATAGCCGGTGCCTTTCTGCATTGCTGCATAATGTATTGCTGGGATTTGTAGTCCGCTATAGCTGATGGTATTATTCTGAATTGCTGCGTTTGTGCTTCAACGCATTGTGTTTGATCAGTTCTGCGCTCACATGCAAAATGCAGCGCCGGACTTCAACACCTGTCTAGGTGAGCCCTACAACAGACTGTATGATCGGATTGTAGGAAAATCTGCGCACTGCCCCTGCATGAGGTTCACTTTAAGAAGACGCATTCCAGTCTTATCTGCTCCTCTTCTGCTAAATAATGGACAGCTGGTGATGAAATGGAGTAAAGTTCAAGTTGAAGTTTTCCTGCAGTTCCTATGTGAGAGACGTGATTGGTCCTGACTCCATTAACCCGTTCAGCTGTACTGTAGCTGTAGGCTGTGTATACTTGTATACCCCCTGTTTTTACATTTCCATTGTGGGCCTGGTTATTCAGCAATAATCTATAGATAACAAAGTGATATACCGTCTATCATATATATACACTGAGTGGCCAGATTATTATGACCACCCCATCAGTACTTTGTTGGGCCGCCTCGTGACTCCACGAGATGTTGAAAGGTGATGCGAGGAATCTGACACTGCGCTGTTACCCTTCTGTTGTCTTGTAACAGTCTTGCCACTCTCCGTTCTGCCCTAACATTGACTAGTCGCTGACGGCCACAATTCGCAGATTTCCGGCTGACAGTCCAGTCTTTAAACACTTTAACAATGAGCCCCTCTTGAACATTTAACTAATTCTGCTGTTTTGCTGATACTCGCTCCATGGCTCCGAGCGCCAACAATCATCCCACGTTCAAAGGCTGTTAAATCGCGTTGTTTCCCCGTATCTTCAGAAACAAATCACTTCTACTGTCGTGGTAAACAACCTGCTTCCCTATTTATAATGGACTGGCCCTCTAGCAACTTCAGCGCCTAATTATAGCTAATTTGCCTACAAACGTCAGGTGGTCATAATAAGCTGGCCACTCAGTGTATATATATATATATACACACACACACACATAGATTAGCAAACAATGCTTTTTTTGTGATATCGTCTTACAAAAATTCTGATTGTTATAATTTGTTTCTTTTTCTATGAATATCGAATAGAAATACAGCGCTAACTGTTTAAGTGTGAATAATACTAAATCAGTGTGAATGTAAACATATACACCAAATAATCTTACATGTAACCAATGTGTTAAATAAGGTTATAAGTGAAAATTATTATTAAAGGAGAACTATGAGGTGAGTGCTTTTGTAGCCGACCTGTGACAATGAGACTGTCACAGGGCGGCTCAGTAGATCGGGAGGTGAGCGAACACATACTGGCGTTCGCTCACCTCTCGATCCTGTTACGGCTCTCTGCCGTGACAGGGGGAGGGGCTGGATTCCCCCCTCCCCGCTCTGATCCGCCAGCGCTGACTGGAGGAACGGACGGGGGAGGGGGCGAGTACAGCTGGCTCTGCCTCTAGATAGGCAGAGCCAGCTGTCAGTCACGCAGCTGGGCAGATCCCGGCACAATTGTCGGGATCCGCTTCAGCTGCGGCGTCTCAGTATACCGCGAGCTACAGCTCGCTGTATACTGAGCTTAGGGTGACGGGAGGACGCTAGCGTCCTCCCGTTACCCTAAGGAGAACTATGGGGATAAGCCCTAACCCCATAGTTCTCCTTTAACAGAAAACCTTCTGTGCAAACATTACAAAGAATAAATGGTGCTGTTTATCATAACATACGTGACTTTCACAAGTGATCAAAAATTGAATAAACAATGAATTGAGTGTTTCATAAAGGTCTATTCAGTAATGTGTCTCAATTCATTGTTTATTCAATTTTTGATCACTTGTGAAAGTCACGTATGTTATGATAAACAGCACCATTTATTCTTTGTAATGTTTGCACAGAAGGTTTTCTGTTAATAATCATTTTCACTTATAACCTTATTTAACACATTGGTTACATGTAAGATTATTTGGTGTATATGTTTACATTCACACTGATTTAGTATTACAGGTGAAACTCGAATAATTAGAATATCGTGCAAAAGTAATTGCAGTAAGTGCTGCAAAAGGGGCCCAAACCAAGTACTGAGTACATATGCATGCTTGTACTTTTCAGAGGTCCGATATTGTTCTATGTACAATCCTTGTTTTATTGATTGCATGTAATAATCTACTTTTTTGAGGTTGTGGATTTGGGGTTCTTGGGGTTTTCATGAGCTGTAAGCCATAATCATCACAATGATGGCAAATCACGGCTTGAATTATCTTGCTTTGCATGTAATGAGTCTATCTCATATATTAGTTTCACCTTTTAAGTTGCATTAGCGAAATAAATGAACTTTGCACGATATTCTAATTATTCGAGTTTCACCTGTATTCACACTTAAACAGTTAGCGCTGTATTTCTATTCGATATTCATCTATTGGACCCCAGGGGTTTATATTACAGCAGCTTTCGACTAACATTATTTATTTATTTCCAGTAGATTGGAGTCACCTTGTTTCACTTTCACGGATTTATTGGTTTAGGTATTTTAAGCGCTGCTCATCCAGTCAAACTTTTCTTTTTTTATGCTATGAAAAAAAAAAAAAAAAATCACAACTAGAAAAATCTTACCTTTATTTCTACTTTGAGTAGTGTTATTTAAGAAAAAAATACTGTTACTGTAGCTTTTATTCGATAATTTGCCCCGTTTAAAATGAATTACATTTTGATTCTGGTACAAAGTGTTACAAAGTTATTTACAAATTAAAAAAAAGCAACATTAGATAAAAATAATGAACGAAATTTAAATAACGAATAAATAATAATTAACGAAATGAAATAAGGAAAAAAACAAAAACTAAATGAATGAAATGAAATAAGGAGAAAAAAAAAGAACTAAATTGAACAAGGAAAAAAAAAATAATGAACAAAATTAAATAAAGAAAAAAATGTTATTGGTTACAAAAATAGAAAAAAAAAAGGAAAATAATAAAGGGGAGAAGGGTAAAAAGAAGTCAATTAGGAATGATGAAAATACATTTGTTATAAAAAACTTTATTTACTTGTCAGGTCGCTTTAAAGAAGAACTCCGGGCAAAAGTGTTCATAACCTTTGCAGTGCGGCCACCCCAGCCCTGCAAGGGTTAAGTGTTTGTTTTTGTCTAGGTGCTTAAGAAGAAAAAAAAGTCATACTCACCCAAATTGCCGTGCCGCCTCCCTGCTTCTCCAGTCACTGAAGCCTGTCTCCTCTTGCAACATTAGAATGTTCCTCGGTGTCCTCATGCCTACAGATTGTATTTGAAATGTGATGATTTATGGGACCTTATACCGCTGCAGCGGAGGTGGGGGGGGGGGGCG